AGAACAGCCAGTGGTCGACCGACGAAGGAGCACAGAGGAGAGACGAGCAGATAGCGAGAGGACGGGAGATCGGAGAGCAGGACGAGGCAAGGAGACCTCCAGGAGCCACCGAGGGAAGCACAGAGAAGAGAGAGGAGAACGAGAGAGAAGAGGACACGAGAAGAGAGAAGAAGAGAGGCATGAGAGAAGAGACGGAGGAGGAGCCCGTAGCAGGAACCGAATAGGAGAACACGCAAGAACATGAGGAAGAAGACGGGCAAGCAGAAGCGCTAAAGCTAGAAGAATAATTGATCGAAGCCTCGAAATGCTTTGCGTGAGCGAGCTGAGTTACTTGTGTAAAAGAGGGGATGGAAGGAGTGAATATCTGTACGGACTACCAAATGACCTATCGTGAAGAAGAGTGCTCACATTCAAATTGTGTTACGTAAAACGCGTATAGATGAGTGGGATTAATTACAGAAGAAGTGTGCACTTCAGTCAAAGGTTTTATTGTGAAAAATTACCCTTCACGTGGCATTGGACAGAGGTTAAGAAAAGACTCAGGTTGATGGTGTCCTTTAACTGGTAAATATATTCTTATTGAGGAGATGAAACGATAACATCCGTCCTCTCGGCCAGATAGCTTTAAATATACAGTGTGAGATAGCGAGAAGAAGATTGTGTGATGGTCAAGGAAAAGCCCTGGACTATAGTGACCTTAATCTAAAACAAGAAGACGCTTGCGCCGACAGTAGACGTGTAAGTGTGATGAGAGCAGAGAGTGTTTATTACTAAAAGAGTGGAATTGAGATGATAGTTAAGTGGCCATTATTGTTGTGGCTGAAACATAGTTCATACTTTATCGAATATCGTGAATAAAATAAATTGAATTATATACTCGTATAATTGACCTTTCACATTCTAATCAATCGGACTAGGGACAGTTCGTTGACCAGTCGCTTGAATTAACTAGAATTCTCTTTAGAAAAGGAAAATAGGCGAACTGAAACATTTCCTTTTTATGCCGCATACGTCTCGTATCATTTAAATTTTTTACGAAAGAGTACCATTATTCATCTTCTTAAAACAAACTTCGCTCTGAAAATAAATGCATTATGATTCTGGATATAGATGAACATTAAGAGACACCGACGACAATGAGAACATTGCACGTGATTTCCAAAATCACTGAAAAGGAAACAAAAAACGACTTAAATAAAATTACTGATACCATCCCCCTGATGACAATCTTGAGGTTTTTTTGTATTTAAAATAAACGTGGAAGATTAATGGGAGAGGACTCAACCAACTTAAGATTCGTATAGGTTTTTACACGTTTCCAATAACCCTCCCTGTCATTTGTCCGACCAATATTTTAAAAGGGAATTTTTGTAGTATATTGTGTATTCTAGATTGCATGGAATAGGTCACAGAGACGCAGTCATATACTGAATTACCTTGCTATATATTTTAACCAATCTGTTTTAGAACGATAGGTTTATTAAAAACATATTTGTAAGAAAACATGGAAAACCATTGTTTGTATGTAAGGGTTGATCTTCCAAATTAGCGGAGGGGCTATCCGTGAGTCAGATGCGTAGTATTTGGTGACACGCTTTTCTTGGTAATGAACTTGGCATCCGATATAAGGTGTGAGAGCAAGCTCATAATACAATTACGAAAAAAAAGCTGAACCCACCCTCCTTCACGAGGAATGATGCAGAGACATGACGTAGAGGTAAAACTTGAACCAGAATCGGATTCCGAAAGACAGGGCGAGAGTCTTGTTTATGTGCTAGTTAACGGTCCTCTCTCAGGACAAAGAAACTGATTTATTTGGCGACTACATGAAAATAATCTGTATTAATACAATATATTTCGATTTACAACTTCATAATCTTGGTTTTATCATTTTTTATATGAGAAGCTACTTGCGGACATTATAAATATTTAAAGAATTTATTGATACTGATGAAGTTAATAGTACAACCAACGCGAAACTTACTACAGTACATTTGGAAAAACCAGTATTGCTTGTAAATTTACAAATCATTTTCTATTAGATCTTGAATGAATGTATGTACTGATATGTGAATAGTACGTTAGTCTTACGAAACAGACCAAGTTTCGCACGTAACGAAAGTTCGCCGTAACGAAAATTCGCCGATAACGAAAGTTCGCCGTACCCAAAGTTCGA